ATAGAAGAGATAAAAGCACACAAAATAAATGGCACCAAAAAAAAAAAACATAACAGAATTGGTTACAGCTAGTTGTTAAGGTGATGGGAAAGTGAAGTGGTTGGAAAATCATCTGACCAATATATCCTATATAATAAAGAGGCAATATACAAATTAACCCTCACACCCTCACAAGATGGCTGCCTACGACCATGCCGGCAGAGGGGTTAGTGAGGGACAATCAAACGACTGAGCAGGCAGGCTATGTGGTGTATTCTATGAGGCCAGTAACCAAGTATTGCCATTATAGAAGTAAACACAAAATTCCGTAATGAAATATCAGCAAATAAAACCCAGTAGCATGTAAGAGGATTATACACTGAGTGGCCAGATTATTATGAACACCTGACGTTTGTAGGCAAATTAGGTATAATTTCGCGCTGAAGTGGCTAGAGGGCCAGACCATTAAAAATAGGGAAGCAGGTTGTTTACCACGACAGAAGTGATTTTTTCCTGAAGATATGGATAAACAACGCTACTTAACAGCCTTTGAACGTGGGATACATTTGAACACGAGTGGCCAGATAATTATGACCACCCCATCAGTACTTCGTTGGGCCACCTTTTGCCTTCAATACTGCGGCGATTCTTCTTGGCATAACTCCACAAGGTGTTGAAAGATGATGTGAGGAATCTGACACCATGCCTGATGAATAGCACTGTCCAGTTCTGTGAGATTTGATGGTCGTGGAATCAGCTGCCTGATGGCTCTTTTAACTTCGTCCCAATTGGATTGAGATCTGGTGATTGTGGGGGCCACCTAAGCAAGGTAAAGTCTCCCTCATGTTCTTGAAACCACTCCTGCACAATACGAGCACTGTGGCATGGCGCACTGTCTTGTTGGAAGAAGCCATCTCCATTGGGATACGCCAGGGGTCCTCAAACTTTTTAAACGAGGTCAGGTCACTGTCCCTCAGACTGTTGGAGGGCTGGACTATAGTTTAAAAAAAAACTATGAACAAATTCCTATGCACACTGCACATATCTTATTTTGAAGTAAAAAAACAAAACGGGAACAAATATAATATTTGTATTTGCATGTGGCCCACAGGCCATAGTTTGAGGACCCCTGGGATACGCCATCAACATGATAGGATGAACTTGATCAGCAACGATACTTAGGTATGTTGTGCTATTCAGACGCTGTTCCACATGAATTAAAGGGCCCAAATCATGCCAGGAAAACATGCCCCAAACCATAACATTGCCCCCACCAGCTTGAAGGGTTGTGCTCATACATGTGGGGTGCATGCTTTCATCCTGTTTCCGCCAAAATTCTCACTCTGCCATCTGCATGATGCAACTGGAAACGTGATTCATCGGACCACATGACTTTTATTCAATGCTCGACTGTTCAATCCTTGTATTCCTGTGCGAATTGGAGACGTTTTATCTTGGTAACTGCAGACAGCAAAGGTATTCGAACAGGCCTTCGGCTTCCATATCCCATATGATGCAGTGTACGGCTAATTTGCCTACAAACGTCAGGTGGTCATAATAATCTGGCAACTCACGTTCAAATATATCCTGTTGGGGGCCAGACGTAAGCTGGCAAGGTCCTTGCACCTGAAGGGGCTAGCAAGGCTGGGACTCTTACCCACACAGTTTTCCCAGACTTGTTTGGATGGCGATTATCAGTAGAATGAGAACAGCCTTTCATGGCTTACCAAGAAGTCTGTAACTATTTACTGAGATATGCTGTACTGAGAACTTGTCCTTTTGCTGTGTCTCTCCCTTAGAGATTAAGAGGAACAAAGAATACATTCCTCTTGACAGACCTCCTACTCAGTGTGTTGTGTATAAATAAGATTGTGTGGCTAATAAACTTCGCTTCAGTTCATCGAGAGAACTGGAGTCCTCCCGATCCCGCTTTCCTGTCTTTCTTTCTTTTCTCATTTCCCACCTCCCTACCTCAGCCCGGCTCAACCTTGTCAGGCTGGCCCTGACAATATCCCATTTTCAAAGGCTGTTAAATAACGTTGTTTACCCATATCTTCAGAAAAAAACCACTTCTACTTTCGTAGCAAACAACCTGCTTCCTTATTTATAATGGTCTGGCCCTCTAGCAACTTCAGCACGAAATTATAGCTAATTTGCCTACAAACGTCAAGTGGTCATAATAATCGGTCACTCAGTGTATACCATGAGCACATGAAATTTTCCCCAGAACACAAGATAGGCCTAATATCTAAAAGATCAATTCATATAATGCACTATATTAATAGAGTAATAAAAAACCTGTATTATCATCTCAACCAAAACGGAAAAATAAAATCAAACAACCAACCATTATAAAAATAACCAAGGATTAGGCTAAAGGGAATTTCTTCATCCCACTACACGGTAACAACATAAAACTTAGAGCTAGCATCGACCTATGAACCAGGAGATTATGGTTCATTTCCCGGTCAGGGCACATGCCAGGGTTGAAGGCTCCATCCCCCTGTGTGGGGTTTGCAGGATGCAGCCAATCAACAATTCTCTCTCAGTATTGATGTTTCTATCTCTCCCTCTGCCTTTCTCTCTGAATCAATAAAAACATATTAAAAAACAAAACAAAACAGAAATTAAAAAAAAACAATTCCATTTACAATAATAGCATAAAAATAAAATCACTGAAAAATTGTACACTGAAAAATCATAAAAAATTCCTTAGAAAAATTAAAGGATATCTGAATAAATTAAGATGCAATCGTAGATTGGAGGATTCAGTATTATTTAGAGGGTAATTCTCTCCAAACTGGTCTACAGATTCATTATATTCTCCACCAAAATCCCAACAAGCTTTTGAGTAAAAATTGACAAGCTAATCCTAAAATTTACATAGAAAAGTGGAAGAGGTATAATAATCACAACAATTTTGAAAAAGAACAAAGGAGGAGGACTTAACACTACTTGATATTAAAAACTTACTATAAAAGACTATGTTCTCACTTAAATATGGAATCTAAGATAGTCAAATTCAAAGAAAGAGAGAGCAGAATGGTGGCTGCCAGAGGCTTGGAGGGGTGGGAGGGGGGGAGTATGGGGAAAATAAAGAAAATGGTCATAAGTTCTGGGGATCTAATGTATCGTATGGTGACTATAGAAAACAATACTGTATTACATACTTAAAAGTTACTGAGAGTACATCTCAAATTGTTATCACCACACACACACACACACACACAAAAGGTAATTACTAGTATGTGATGTGATGGAGGTACTAACTAACCTTACTGTCATCATTATTTAACAATATATATGTGTATCAAATCATCACATTGTATACCTTGAAATTACATATGCTATATGTCAATTATAAATCAATAAAGCTAAAAAAAATCCCACCTACTCTAAAGCTAAAGTAATAAATATAGTTGGTATGAGTATAAACACAGACAGATTAGCAAATCCAGAAATAAAACCTTGTACAGTATTTATGGTCATTTGATTTTCAAGAAGAGTGCCAAGACAAATCAATTGGAGAAGGATAGTCTTTCACCAAATGGTGCTTGGACAAATTAATATCCATATGCAAAAATTGGACTTATATCCTTATTATTGTACCATATTCAGAAATTAATTTTATATATGGTTCATAACTTAATTGAAAAGATTAAATGATTAGACTTCTAGAATAAAACACAGAAGAAAATTTTGGGGTTAGACTAAATGTTCAAAATATGACATCAAAAAGATTACCACAGAAATAAAATCAAGAAATGACTTCATTTAAATGGAAAGCTTTCGCTCTCCAAAAGGCATTATGAAGCAAATAAACAGAAAGTGATAGGCTGGGGGGGGGGGGGGGGGGGCGGGGATTAACTGCAAGTCATTTATGTGATAATACATTGTATCATAAACACAAAAAAGTACTGTAAAAGTTCTCTTAGAATAGTAAATTTGTAAAGATGAAAGACTTAAACAACACTATCAACAAATTTTGACCTAACTGATACAAAGAAAAAGCACAATACACATTCTTTTCCTCAGCAACTAAAACGTTTATCAAGATAGACCATATTGTGGACCATAAAACAAATCTCAATAAATTTAAAACCATTCAAATCATACAAAGTATGTTCTCTGACTACAATGGAACTATTAAAAATCAGTAACAGAAAATTATTTGGAAAGATCTCAGATATTTGCAAACTAAATACCACACTGCTAAATAACCCATGGGTCAAAGAAATGAGCCAAAGTATAAGAATATTTTGAGCTGAATGAAAATGAAAACACAACATGTGCAAATTTAGGGGATATAGCTAAAGTAGTGCTAAGAGAGAAATGTATAGGACTAAATTCCTATATTAGAAAAAAAAAAAGTTTCAAACCAATTATCTCAGTTTCCACCTTGAGAAACTAAAGAACAGAGAAAGTGAAACCCAAAGTAAGCATATATAATTAACAGAAGGTAACAAGTGTATGTATATGAGCCACTAATTCTTGTGAAATATGCTCTTTAATAATGTGGTTAATGTTTTTAAGGTTTACAGGTTTCACAGAAAGACAACCTAAATTCATTTGCAATGTAGCATGATAAAAATAGTTGGGAAATACTATGCTTCTACTTTCATGCATATAGTTGAAGGTAAAGAAAAATAATGTTATGAAGTTGTATTATCTTCACAGACTGCTGGTTAATTTGATCATGGAACAAGGTGAGTACCACAAGACAGGAAGCAAGGCAATTATCAAGACAATCACATCTTATTAAGGGCACATAAACTTAACACTACCTATTCCATCAATGCAAATGCAAGTACAGAGGGTGCCTCTAACAGTGTTATGTTCTGAATTTGGAAGAGTGTGGCAGTAACAGCATAACAGTAACATTTATTTAGCTTTTATAACCAAAGGTGTTTTCCAGAAAACAAATCAAGACAGAGTTTCATATCTCTAGAACTACCTAGAACTACAAAGAAGCAATAAATTATAAGTTAAAAATCTTCTAAATGATTTTAAAAATCCCTTACCGGTATCTATGAACAAATATACCCTTAAAAATAGAGTTCATCATATTTTCGATTTCATCCTGATTTTCTTGTAGCTGAAATAAAAAATAAATTAATTAAAATGTTGATCACTTTATTTAGAACAGTGGTTTTTAACCTTTTTCATCTCACGGCGCACACAAACTATTAAAATTCTGCTGCACACCAAAATTTTTTTTTGCCCATCTGACAAAAAAACAGGTATAATTTTGATTCATTCACACTGGATGGCTATTGTTGTGTTTGACAATCTCAGGGAAAATAGGTCAGTGCCCCTAACTAAATAGTCAGGTATTGCATGTTTTAAAAGTTCGTGTGGCACACCAGAATGCCTCTTGAGGCACACAGGTTAAAAATATCTGATTTATAATGAACAGTTCCAATTGTTTTTAATAACTGGTTATTCTCATTTTGAATAATTATCAATCCTTTTTCTCACTTATTGTGCAATATGATATTATCAGTATTCTTGCATTATTTCTACAACTATACTAGTGGATTAAGAACCTCTCTCTCTTCCTTGACACTAAAAGGAGTGGTGCTAAGGTGGTGAGATTCCTATCTCCAAAATATCATTTGCTTTGGGAATAGTCCTCAATTTCTAACCTCTTTTGTCCAAACCAGGTCCCTGGCTTGATTTTGCCTTTCTTGGCAACAGATCTCCCATGATTAACATACTTGCCACTGTAGAAGAAATTTCCTATTCTACCTAAAGTATCCAAATATGACTTTATTATCTGATTAGCTCAAGACTTAGAGTAGGCCAAGTTCCCAGTACAGGAGGCATAATAGAAAGTAACAAGGTTCCTAGCTATCAGTGGTGGAATGTAGCAACAAAATAAAACACTACAGCAAAGATAATAAATTTCAGGCAACACTACTGATGAGAGTTAAAGTTTGAGTTTATTCACTGCTCAAAAGGAATAAAAACACTGATATAAAATCACATTCAATGTAATATTTCTTATTCTAATTTGTTTTGTATTAATACTCAGTGAAATACTGGCTTTAACTGCATACTCCAATGTGGCAAAACTCAGACTTATTCCTTAGGACTTTTTTTTTTAAATCCTCACTTAAGGATATGTTTTGTTTTTAAAAAAATATATTTTATTGATTTTTTACAGAGAGGAAGGGAGAGGGATAGAGAGTTAGAAACATCGATGAGAGAGAAACATCAGTCAGCTGCCTCCTGCACACTCCCCACTGGGGATGTGCCCACAACCAAGGTACATGCCCTTGACTAGAATCGAACCCGGGACCCTTGAGTCTGCAGGCTGATGCTCTATCCACTGAGCCAAACCGGTTAGGGCTGAGGATATGTTTTTATTGATTTTTAGAGAGACAGGAAAAGGAGAGAGAAGGAGAGAGAAGGAGAGAGAGAGAGAGAGAGAGAGAGAGAGAGAGAGAGAGAGAAACATTGATTGGTTGCCTCCCACACATGCACCAACTAGGGATCAAACCACAACCCAGGTATGTGCCCTGACCTGGAATCGAATTCACAACCCCTTGGTATATGGGACTGAGCCACTCAATCAGAGCCAGATTTATTTTTTTGCTGTATACTGTTTCAGGTTCGACTGAAATTAGAATAACTTTATGGTAAAGCATTCATAATATTGCAACTTACTTGTAAGTTACACTTTTCTTGCACTTATTATTAAAAAAAATTAATTTATAAGAAGTATATAGTTTGGTTAGTAGTACTTACTGAAGCCACAGTTCCAAAATTTACTCCCATAGTATTACAAATATAGTATGTGTTCTGAGTTGAATTGTACCCCTCAAAAATTCATATGCTAAAGTGCTAACCCTTCCTACATCAAATCTTATTTGGAAATAGGGTGTAGCAGAGGTTGTAGGCTAAGATAGGGCCACACCAAAGTAGGGTGGCCCCATAATCCAGTATGAGGGGTTTCTTTAGAAAAAGTAGAAAGTTAGAGACTTGCATACACACAGGGACAAGGCCATGTGAAGACTGGAATTATCTTTGACTTATAGCCCACAGAACTCTGAGAAAAAAATTCCTTTTCTTTAAGCCACTCAGTTTGTGGTATCTATTACAGCAGCCCTAGCATGCTAATACAGAATGGATAATAATTTAACCATAAGCTTGCTGCTTCTTATTGCCTGTTATAAGCCATTATGCATTGATAAAAATTTATAGCAATGTGATATTAATCCTTTTTCAAGTTAAAATATAGACTAATACTGTAGATCTAAAATTTTATTTCGTATTGAATAAACATATTACCTACTAAAAATCTAGTTTAAAGTAATTTTCAACACATATATGAAAATTTCATTGTAAAACTAAGACTGATCTTATTCACAAGAGTGCCTTATATATTTAGCTAATGTGTAGGCTTCGGCTTTCTCCTAGAAATGCAGGCTTTGCTGGCTCTTAGTTCTTATGTTAATACTTATCATGTTTTCTTTGGCCATAGCCTGATAATGTTTATGAGTTACCCTAACTCCCGTACCACCTGTTTTCAAAAGTAGAATTGTTCTGTGATTCTCTTCTGCCATTAGACAGCACTCAGATAATCACTGGCTGAATACTGTAGTTTCATTTTAAAACTTTGAGATCAAATAATATAATTTTAAAAAGTAAATTAAGAAAATACACAGTCTGTTTTACAGGGAATTAAAAAATCCAATATGATATATATTTCCTACACATTTACATAACATAAGAATTTCAGATATCATGAAACTTACCTCTTTGCGTTTCTGAAGTAGTAACTCCAACCTTTCATTGGCTCTTTTCCCAATCATTTTATTTCTTTCAGCTTCATATTGTCTCTGTGTATTATCCTGATGAATACTGAGGTTTAAGGCAACATTCACCAAAGCAGTCATGAGCTTCATGGCTATGAAATAAAGGAAGACTATAGTATTCAACTATGAATCAGAATTTCATCCATAAAGTTACAAATTTATAACGGAAACAGATGAAAAGAATTTGTTTAATAATCCAGGCATAATTTAAGTTAAAAAGAAAAAGGAAAATTATTTTATAGAAGTTGTCATCGTACTCTGAAACAGTGTCACTAGAGTTTGGCTCATTAACCTTTCCCACTTATAAACAGCCTCATCCTACTAACCATCAGCAGGACGGATTTAGATAGTATCTTCTACAACTCATCTCCTGAGTCTTCAAATATGCACACCTTAGTGAGAGCATACTAATCAAACCTACTCTTCTGACCACCAGTTCTGTGTATACAATTGCTTCCTTAATACCTTTATTAGGTAGATGCATCAATCAGTTCATGATCTGTACCCCGAAGATGGATCCTCTGCTTGTATTGTTCACCTCAGTGAATGGCATAACATAACCTCCAACCCCTGAAAAATAGACTGATCCTACCAATCTCATTAAATTCATTAAAAATGTATTCTGTGAATTTCTGACTGACCTATTTTCCCTAGTCATTGTGTTAACGTACTTTTAAATGTTCACTTGTATTTTTAAGTCCTGTTAAATATTTTCAAACTTCTGTTTCAAGTGCTCTGAGAAACAGGTATGACAAAAACCTTAAACTTTTGTCTATTCATATTTATATTCATTATTGAGATGGTGAAAATGTAGAAAATACTGGTAGAGGAATAAGAGGGGTGGTGTTGATAAAATAATTTCCCTCATTTTTTTAAGGTTATTCACCTGCAAAAACAAATGTTCAGTTATAAAAAATGAACTGATCAGTGTTTTGGAAAAATTGATCCACTTATCTTCATATCCAAACTAAATATCCAAAACTAAATATGAGCATGCATTTCTTTTAAAATGTCACTATTTCCCTTTAAATACATATATACTAGTAAAAGGGTAATATGCTAATTAGACCAGACATCTTCCAGACATCCTTCTGGACAAAGCCACGGTGGCGGGGCCGAGGCAGAGGCGGTTAGGGGTGATCAGGTCGGCAGGGGAGGGCAGTTAGGGGCATCAGGCCAGCAGGCAGAGGTGGTTAGGGGCGACAGGCAGGCAGGCAGGTGAGCAGTTAGGAGGGTGATCAAGTCGGCAAGGGAGCAGTTAGGGGGCAATCAGGCTGGCAGGCAGAGGTGGTTAGGGGTGATCAGGCAGGTGAACGGTTAGGAGCCAGTGGTTCTGGATTGCAGTTGGACATCCCCTGAGGGGTTCCGGATTGGAGAGGGTGCAGGCCAGGCTGAGGAACGCCCCCCCCCCCCCCCCCCGCTATTACATGAATTTCATGCACCGGGCCTCTAGTATATACAGAATGCTATATCTCTACCTACCTACCTACCTACCTATCTTCTCTCTCTCTTACTGTTAGTCTGAAACTCTATCTACATTTTGGCTAACTCCATGTTAACAGTGATTGCTACTGCCCTTAAATCAAAATATAAGACATAAATCCTGAAAACAAATGTATTAAAGTTAGAGTCCATTTCGAAATGTATTTAATGAAAATGTTTTCTTTTTCCTGAGATACAATGTCTCAATACAGTGAGAAATATTCTGTTTCAAAATATAGGCTAGTAATTTTATAGCATTTTACACATTGTGAGCAGACTATCTGATAATATTATGAAGGTTAAAAGCACTTTTTAAATTAATCTGTATAAAAAAGGAAAAGAGCTAAAGAACATGAGGGAACTGTGGCATTCAAACTGCCCAAATCAGGGATAATAGTTTAACAGAGCATGTCCTGAGCATACAAAGTCTTACCCAATGAAGCTTACTTTACTATATACTTGTAGTTCTCTAAAACAAAGTGACTTGAAGATCAAGGAGTTGGAAAGCATTAACATTAACACCAACCCTGGCTGGAATTCACCAGTGGAAGCTGAGATACATATTTCTTGAATTTAATAGCTTTTGCTTTCAGCTATGTATCTCTTTGTGAACCTAGATCTCAAACTCCAACTGTCATTATGTAATGACTTGCCACACATCCTAGTTATATATAAGCAAAATAAATCAACACACTAAAACAATAAAAAATGCAAAATAATCAAAACACTTTCAGAAAAGTATTAGATATAATATAGTAGTATTTACTGAGACAAAATATTTATGAATCTGTAAACATATACTTCACTAAAATTTTTATTTAACATACCACCAACACATAGCAAATAAATAGCTATTAAAGAAAGACTTCCAACTTAAAGACATAGATACAACATGGGGATCGTGATGTCTAATTGAGTCTACTAAAAAAAAGGACTCATTTCTGCATAGTGTGAGCACTAATTACATTTTACTGGCATTTCTAACAGAACCATTTTATAAATGAATAATCATATGGGAGTTCAGGCTGAATTCTGTTACATGGGCTGTTAAGTGCCTTCTCCTTGTCAACCAAAAAGAATACTTCATTTATCCTTCGAATTTTAACTGTTGACTACTACTTGTTCTAGTTCTATAGAATGGTAAACTTGTGCTACTCAGAAGTGTAGTTTGCAAAAAACGGCTTGTTACCACTTCAATTTAAGAAAAAATTAAAGGTAAGTTTTTAGAAATGTTTGTAATAATTTGACAGAGTAATCTCTGTCTGTTGAATCTAATAATGAAATGACACTAAAACTATTTATTTTGAAAATAATTGTATATTTTACAAGTACTAAATTATAACAGGTTGGTAATTTAAAAACGAGTCTTTCACCACAGAGAGTTCAAGAAGCACTTAATTGCTTCCCCATTCATTGGTCAACCCAACATATGCTGAATACTAGAAGTAAAAAAGTGCACAGAAAAAAAGAAAAAAGTGCACAAGACAGTACCTACCCTCATATTTTTTACTCCCTAGTGAGAATAAACAAACAGATAATATATAAATGAAAAATAGATAATGAAAATATCTATCAAGAAAATAAAGTATGGTTTAAAAAAAGTATAGTAAAAGGATAATGAGTAAAGAGGATGGTCAGGCAAGAAGGCCTCTTTTAACAGCTCATGTTTAAGCATGAAGTGAGTGAAAAAGCATGTATAACAGAACAGTGTTCCAAAGGTAATGAGGTAAATTGCTATGAGGGCACTCATAAAAGAGAAAGGTGGTTAGTGTGGCTAAAGCATAGAAATAGGCAGGAGATGAGGTTGAAGCAAAAAATCAAGGGGCCACATTATAAGGGTTCTATTAGGATCAAATAAGATCTCATGATTAAAATCTAAGTGAGGTAAGACCCACTGGAAAATTTGAGGTGAGAAACATTCTGATTTACATTCTAAACTTCTGTGTAAACAGACTATAGAACAGTAAAAGGAGAAAAGGAGAGAACAAATAGTACACCGAAGAGAGAGTTGAAAATACAGGTATCCCCACCCCCCTAAAAGTATACATACTATAATAGCTGATAGCTCAATTTTGAAAATAAGTCCTGGCTGGTTTGGTTCAGTGGTTAGAGTGTAGGCCCTGAGACTGAAGGGTCTCAGGATAGATTCTGGGTCAAAGGCACGATCCTTGGGTGCAGGTTCAATCCCCGGACCTGGTCAGGGCATGAGCGGGAAGCAACCAATCAATGTGTCTCTAACAACTCAATGTTTCTCTCTCTCTCTTCCCTCCTTCCCCATCCCTTCCACTCTCTAAAAATCAAAGAAATATCCTTACTCCTCAGGTGAGGATTAAAAGATAAATTAAAATAGATTAAAAGAAAATGAAATGTATTGTAATAAACACTGCCTTTATAATTATTCAAAGTGAGTGTATATAAATTTTTTGGGGACACCCTATATTTTGATGAATGGTTACAATGATGACTAGATTTTGGCCTTGAGCAACTCAGTAAAGCAAAGTTAGCTTGGATATAAGTTGTAGCAATAGGTACAGAAAAATGTTTAGATGTGAAATATATTTTGAAGGTAGAACTATAATATAATAGACTAAAGGTCTGGTGCATGAAATTTGTGCACGGGGGTTCGGGGGGGGGGGGGGATGGGTCCCTTCAGGGGATGTCCGACTTGCCTCTTGCAATCCAGGACCACTGGCTCCTAACTGCTCACCTGCCTGCCTGATTGCCCCTAACCCCTCTGCCTGCCTACCTGATCGCCCCTAAACACTTCTACCTGCCTGCCTGATCACCCCTTACTGCTGCCCTGCTGGCCTGATTGCCTCTAACCGCCTCTGCCTTGCCCCGCACCCAGGATTCACTCCTCTGGCCGGTCACAGGCATCCAGGACCTGGGTTTCCCTCCCTCTGGCCAGCCACAAACATCCAGGACCCAGGCCGGCTGCAGCTGCAGGGGACTGTGGGTGGGCAGCTTTGCCTGGGCCACAGCCGCAGGCAACCGGGACCACGGAGCATACAGCTTCTCCCTCTCCCGGACCACAAGCGCAGGTGCAGCTGCTAGTGCCCGGGACCGCGGGGCATGTGGCTTGTCCCTCTCCCGGGCCGCAGCCTGGCTGGTCCCCATTCCTCTCTCACAAGCTCCTTTGTGCCTGACTGGTCCCACCCCCCCATTCCTTTTGCACGAGTTCATTTGTGCCTGGCTGTTCCCCATTCCTCTCTCCCCATTGTTGAGTGTCTGAGCAGTTCCGGTGCGAGGGCGCGAGGACCATTTGAATATTAGCTCTTTATTATACAGGATTATAATGTAGGAATTGAGATAAATAGAAAATGCAAGAAGAGAATTTTTGTGGTTATTAGGTATCTACTAGTAAGTAGAAATGTCTAGTAGATATAACATTTGGAAGTCATCATCAAAGATGTTGGTATTTAGACACAAAAACTGGATGGCACATCCACCCAATGGTTAACTATTCAGCCATTAGGAAAAAGTGGCATGATTTTGTGTGCTGTAAAGAAAAGCCCACCAAGTTATTTGTTTATGTGGGAGGGCAGGAGCAAGATGCCTGTCAATGTGTATATTATGCTAGTATTTATGCAAAAGGAATGTGTTTTTTATT